TTTCCTCCACTCTTGGAGAGGAGGACAAAGTTGGGGGGCCCTCCTACCCAAGTCCCTGGATGTTTTTCCCAGATGTTGATAGGAGTGACACCAGCCTACATGGGAGCCTACTTGTAGTACCGGTTCAGATTTGACACTCAGCTATCCAGTTGGGTTGTGTGTGGCCCTTCTTTTTGATCAATATTGGCTCAATACATTGTTTATAGAACAAGGTCCACTGTCTCCTCGTAATTCTAAATGCAGAGTAGTCCCATCCTGGGTCCTTGGTTAAGCACTGTTGTTCCATGCCCTTCCCATAATTCTGGAGGCAAGGGAAATTTACCTTGCCCACATGGTTGGAGAGTGAGGATGAATGTTCATAATTCCAGAACGGATGAGTTCTGTTTCCTCAGGTTGAATAAGGCATACATGATCCTGTCATTCCAAGCCTGGGGTGTTGCCTTTCAGGCTTCTCCAGGTTGAGGAGAAGGTTTGTCCACTTCATTGTTGCTTACTTTCTCATCGTGATTCTGGTGGCTCGGAATGTATCACTCTGTGGCTACAGGTTTGAATCCAGTCATAAGTATATATATATATAGTTTGTGGTCCAATTGCCCTAGCCACCAATATGGGATATAGGAACCATGGCCCTATAACTCCAACCTGGAGTAGTGGAACCTCTGCTATTTGTTTCGAGCATGGCCTATAGTGATGATAAATCAGGTAAAATTCCAACCACAATATAGGGTGAAGAGCATACCTGTTCTAGATGTAGTGCAGTTCTCCCACTAGGGTGCCAATCTTCCATTGACAAACGCATGATCTATGCATATGCTTTCTGTATGGATAATGCCCTCACCAGTCCCTCCAAATTATCAATGTGGGATTCTCGCTATCAGTGTGAGAGGAGGTAAGTATGTTTTGGTAGTTAGCATTTTCTTAAATTGAAAATTTATTTCCAATAATACCTCCTCTCACACTCTCCCAATCTTCCTCTCCACTAAGACCCAGTGTTGGAGACCAGGATTGAGTCAGTCTCAAAAAAGTGATAACATTATCTGAATGAGGTGCTTATATATACAGTCCCAGGATAGAGTGTGTCATGAGACAAATATTGCCAATGGCAATTGAGTGGAGTATAGAAGACTGGAGCAAGCAAGAAAAAATCAGAGACATGCTTAGAGGGGCAAAGATGGGCAGTTGAATAATAGCTATCAGTGTGAGTGGAGGTAAGTATTATTGGAAATACATTTTTGATTTGAGAAAATTTTAACTATGTGTACCAAAACTACTGATTTCACTTTTTTTAATATTCTCAGCAGCTGAAAGTGCAGAGCTTGTTCAATGGCATCATGGCTTTGACACTTCAATTTGTAAGATGACATACTAAACATTTTTCTATTTGCTAAGCATGCATGTGTGTGTCTTTCTAAATTAATACATTCATTTAACAGTTTTTTAATATAAAAGAGTTTAAATAATGTGCAGATTTTGTACACTTTTGACACTGTGTTTTGTGCAATATTGTACTTTAGGTTGAAATGGGTATGAAGAATCATGAGCTCGTTCCTGCTCCTTTGATAGCTTCAATAGCTAGTCTCAAACATGGTGGATGCCATAAGCATTTGAAAGAACTGACAAAAAATAAACTTTTATCTTATGAACGTGGAAAAAGATGTAAGTATTTGAAAAATTTGTTTTGTCAAAAACATGTTTAGGTACAGTTTTGAACTGCGCTTGTTTATATAAGCCAGAATAAAATCAAGAATATTCTAACATTTATGAACACATTATTATTAAACACATGTTAGCCAAACATTATCTATCAGCTGAATATGTTTTGTTGTTTTACAGATGATGGCTATAGATTGACATTCATGGGCTATGATTACCTGGCTCTTCGTGTTCTATCTAACAAAAATGTAGTTATGTCTGTTGGGAATCAGATAGGTGTTGGCAAAGAATCAGGTATTTGTGTTGTAGGCAGTTTTGAAATTTATAATTTAAGCTAAAAGTTATTACTTTTAAAGCATTTTGTTTGTAGTAGTGGAGATTAAAAAATTTAGAGCAATAATTTCTGAGAAAAAGTTAATAATATGCATAGATGTTGAATTTCAAAAAAGACCCAAAACTTGAGTGCTTTCACATAGTTGACTTTCCAAAACATACATACCTCTGCTGACACTAATAGCTGTTTCTCAGTCTTCATCTATGCCATCTAATGTTGTGTTTCCTTGCTCCAGTCTTTATATACCCCACTTGACTACCCTTGGCAATATCTAAATTGCAAAGCTTTATGCCGGCTCTCACACACCCTCTATGTAGGTACTGTATATAAGCATTGTATGCAGACAATAAAATCACTTTTTCTCACCAAAGCACAAGCATTCAGACTAACATTTTGTGATTTCCATTTTCTTAGTTTTTGCTTTCTACCAAACCGGAATTTCTTTGTTTTGTTATCTAGAGATATGTTTTATTGAATTTGTTTTTGTCCATGACTTGAATCAGGGCGAGATAGAGTTCTTCATGTGGCCTGGAAGTATTTCTCCGGGTAGTGCTGGTTTGAATTCTCATTCTGAAATGGGATATTCTGGGGAGAATTTAGACTTCCATTTTCCTGCTCTTTCTTTCACTAGAGCTTCCTCTCCTGAGGACTCATCTGATCAGCCACCTTCTGCCCCTTTTCTGCAGTCGTGGTTGGTCTGTTGCTTGGACTTGAGTTGTGATGCTTTTTTGGGGGGTATTCACTCACCTACTTCTGCCCTTTGAGATTTATGAAAAGCATGTTTTCGTCGGCCTTATTTATTTGCTGTAATTTTAAAATCTTTAGAAGCCAGAGTTGATACAGCACGTTTGAAGTCTTCTTTATTGTCTTTGGCTGCTCGACTCTATTCTACTTCAACTGGTACTTCTGCAGGTTCATTCCTTCATGTCTCAAAGCCCCCTCTTTCCATTCCTTGTTCCATTGATTCTCTTAATCATTTCCATCCTTATTCTTGGGTAGTTTCAGACATTGCACGATGGCGCTAGTGCCGTTTGTAACTACCTATTTTTACCAAATCCTGTGGGAGGATGGTTACATCTCTTTCACCGTATTTGGTATTCTTTCACCATCAGTCATTGGGTTCTTAGTGCTGGAATTTGGATTCGAGATTCAGTTTACTTCTCCCCCTCCTCTGTCCTCCCTTCCACTTATTTTTCCTCCTCCTTCAGACCTCAGATGCACAGATCCTCGAGCCTAAGCCATTCAGGAGTTGTTTCTCAAACGAGCCATTGAGAAGGTCAGTCTCATTCATCCAAGATTCTATTCTCGTCTCTTTCTGGTTCCCAAGAAAACTGGAGATTGGCATCCTATCATCAATTTATTTCGACTAAATCTTTTTCTTCAGCCTTCTCATTTCACTATGGAATCTTTTCTTCAACTTTGATGGCACTTCTCACCAGGTCTTTGGATTACCAAGTTTGATGTTGCAGATGCCTATCTTCATATCCCTATAGCAGAATCTTCTCTTCATTTTCTGAGTTTTGTGCATGAGGATCAAGTGTTCCAGTTCAGAGCTCTCCCATTTAGACTTGCTTCAGCACCATATATCTTCTGCTGAGTAGTACGGCACATCACTATATAGCACCAACTCATCATATCGCCAAACAACATACTCAGATTCTCCTTTCCAAAACCAAATGAGCGGGCTTCATTATCAAGTTGGAAAAATCAATTTTTTTCACCAACTCAACACCTGATCCATCTAGAAGTGTTTTTCAACACCGTTTTGGGCAGGACTCAACTATTGCCTCTTCCAATTTCAACATGTGGAAGAAATTGTCAGGCTTTTGATTATATTGCCTTTTCCCACAGTGCGGATGGATCTGTCTGTTTTGGGATTTGGGCTTTTATCGATTCCCTTGTACCATTGGGTCAGGTCCATATGAGGTCTCTTCAATGGGCACTTCATGACCAATGGAGCATGCACATTGATCATTTGGATCGACCAGTCTCTTTTTTCAAGAACAAGATTGCAGACAGGAACAACACGAGTATCAGGGTTCAGATACCACCTCCTCAGCCAGATATCCATTTTTTCAGGGATGCTTTTCTTCAGGGACAGGAATTTCAGGGTATTTGGATGAACTCCAAATCTACCCTGCATATCAATGTTCTGGAACTTCTTGCAGTTCAAGCAATGATTCAAGGTCTTCCTTTCTTAATTGGGAAAATAGTTATGATTCACTTAGACAACTCCACAGTGGTCTTTTAACTTTCTTGTCAGGAAGGTACTTATTCTCAGGATCTCCGTTTCCAGACTTTGGATCTTCTGTATTGGGCTCATTTCCACAACATACATCTTTTATCCTGCCATGTACCAGGATTCATGAATTTGATTGTGGATCATCTTTCTTGACCCCATCAAATTCTTACAACAGAATGGATGTTACATCAGGAGGTTTTTCAATGGACTTGTTCTCAGTTCGGAGCCCCGATAATCAACTCTTTTGCAACCCATTGGAATGCACGGCTACCGTTGTTCTGGTGTCCTGTTCCTCATCTGTATGCCTTTCACCTATTCGTCTCTTACCCAGAGTCTTGTCTATGATTCGTTCCACACCCTGTCAGGTTCTCTTGATTGCACCTTTTTGGCCAGCTCAGACATGGTTTCCTCTTCTACAGTTGTTTCAAGAATGTCCACCTCTTCACCCATCCTTATTGAAAAAACCTTGGTTCAACATTCCCAGGCATGGAAGTTATGCCGTCCTTTGCCCTTAATAGGGGTTTAACTTCTAAAGTTTCCTTTTATTTGACAAAAGTCTTCCGGCGACCTACTTTGGCAATCTATCAGCAGAAATGGACTACTTATCGTCAGTGGTGTCTGAGAAGAACTTTCAATCCCCTTTGGTCCTTCGTGGGACAGTGTTCCACATCCTTTCCATAATTCCATGGGTAAGCAGAATTCTCCTTGCCCACTTGGTGGGGGAGTAAAGACAACTGTTTGTAAATCCAGACCGGATGAGTTCTGGTTGAGTATGGCATATGATCCCATCAATCCAGACCTGGGATGTTACCTTTTGGATGTCTTCAGGTTAATCAGAAGGGCTGTCCAGTTTAGTGTTGCCTTTTTTCTTTCAAAAATCCGCTGGTTCGAAATACATCATTCTGTGGTTACTGGTAGGGATTCTATCACAAAGATATATATGTATATATCTGCAGTCCAACTGCCCTGGTCACCAATGTGGGATATGGGTACCATGACTCCTTAAATCCAATCCGAGTTGTGGAATCTTGGCTGTTTGGTTGGGGCTAGACCATCATACTTGTATTATATTCCACCCTTTTTAATTTTCTGTAGTTCTGGGTGAAGAGCATACCTGTTCTGGATGTAGTGTGGTGTTTCCTACTTTGATACCAATTCTTGTGGTACATATTGGTTCTCTGCAGATGCTTTCTGTATGATCTGTCCTCACCGGCCCCTCCGCCTTCTCAATGTGGGATTCTAGCTGTTAGTGTCAGCAGAGGTGTGTATGTTTTGAAAGTTATAATTTTCCTAAACTGAAAATGTATTGCCAAACATACTTACTTCTGCTGACACTCTCTCTCCCTTCCTCTGCACTAAGAGCTGGTGTTAGTGACTGGAATGAGGTAAGTCTTGAAAAAAGTGATTTTATTGTCTACATAGAGGGCATGTGAGTGTCGGTGTAAAGTTTTGCAATTTAGATATTGCCAAGGGTAGTCAAGTGGGGAATATAAAGACTGGAGCAAGCGAACACAACGTTAGATGGCAAAGATGAAGATCGAGAAATAGCTATTAGTGTCAGTGGAGGGAAGTATGATTGGAAATACATTTTAAATTCAGGAGAAGAGTAGCCAATTATTTGAAAATGCTTGAGTTTTGGGTCTTTTTATGAATTCATTGCATTTTTGGTCTATGATCCTATATGCTAACTCTTTTATCAGAATAGTATAGATGTTGAAATGTTTATTCTGTTCATGATATTTAAGAGATAGTTGAAGCTGTAAAACCTGCACTCATGCAGAAGTTCCCTTTGTTCACACGAAAAACATTGGTATTATATAGACTCTTAGAAGAAGGTGATCAGTAATTATTGGCAGATAAGATAGGTTCATGAATGATAGTAATATTTTAGGCTAGTAACAGCATTTGAAATAACAATTTTCATTTGTCTGTCAAAAAGAGATATAAATTACTGGTTATCATGGTTGATTTGCCAACAAAAATTACTTACAATTATTTTCATGATGCAGAACTGCTTAAACATGTTTTAATTGAATACAAATTGTGGTAGTAGGTAAGTTAAGAAAATTGATTTCTGTTGGAATTTTATATAGGTGTTAGCAGTTTTATGGTAGCACCAGTATATGTGGTTGAATATAATATCTTTCTATATTTCTGGGTTTCATACAGTAAAGATCTTTTGTAGTTTTTATATTAAAGCACTTTGATCTGAAAGTTGGTAAAATATCATAGAAATTGTTTTACTATTAAATATGTTAGTAAAATATTAACTCTCAATAAAGCATCTAATGACTTCAGTAATATACATGAAGGCTAGTAGTTAAGTCACATAATTTAACAAGTTGTTTTCAGGATAGAACAGTGATATCCACACTGCTGATATGAGCTGAAACAACAGAACATCCAGTCACAACAACTTAAAAGGGACAGAAAGAACCTCTTTATGAAGTTTTACTGCTATATTATAAGAAAGCAAACAGATTGTTTCCCAAAGACTTTGTTTTCACTGTTTGTTTTGAATATGTTAAATGTTGTAAAATTTCTATATGCTTAAGATAATTGCATAATTTAAGTGAATATGAATATAATGTTAGTTATAATATTTAATTACTAAATCGTATTTAAATCACCTTTCAAGATTCAAAAGCACTTTATAATTCAGCATCTCATTCAACATTTCCTGCCTGTGTTTTTGTCATATAATCACACTATACTACCATATGAAAGTCTGTATACTGATTCCTTTGAATTCAGGCATTAGAAACTTTAGTTATAGATGTTTGCTTATCTTTTCTAAAAATTTACTTTTTATTTATAACATTTAAAAAACTATTTATATGAAGTGGTGAAATTTGCACATTTCTCATATCCCAATTTAAAAAATTGTTATCGTAATTTTACATTTACTGATAAAACACTGAAAATCTTAATTCTATTTTCATAGTTTTGTTTGATAATATGCTTATTTTTGTCTGAAATACTACAGTTTCATTCCCCACTTTTTTCTTACTAATAATTACAGATATATACATTGTTGCTGATGAAGATGGGAAAGAGATGGTCCTGAAAATTCATAGGTAAGATTTATTTTGTTTACATAATGTTATAAACCTTGTGTAGTTTTAGTTTTAAATTAAGTAACTTTCCAATTATTACTAATGTTTACTATATTTTGTATCCATTAAGATGTTAAGTCTGTTGGGAGATTAGAATTAGAAGTATATGTGAACTGTTCAACATGTTCTTTTGTACCAAACATATACAGAGATCTTATAAGTTATATTAAGACAATTTTAGAGCCTCACTACATCATTACAGTCCATGTTGTACATATGTTCATGCTCTTTATGACAACTGTGCATCTTGACAACAGCCCTGTAGCATAGTTTCCATTGCAAAGGGCTCCATTGTAAAGCTGTCATATATAAAGCATTTCACCTCCTCCCTGCTGGTTTTCATAATCCAGCTAGTATACAAGGATGATTGTTTTCCAGAAGTTATTCAAGAATGTGATAGCACAGAAATCCATAGGTGCCACATCCAGTGTATGTCTTCTTATGGAATAGCATTAAGTCCTGTTTCAATCTCCTAATGGAGATCCTTCTTGGTTATACTACCTATTACAAGATGCCACACTTTACTTACCATGGCTGGGGTACAATTGTTGCAGGTTTGCAAATGGATTCATATTTCTTTGTTTTCCTATTGTCATGAAGGACAAGGGATATTCCCATCTTGGAAATTCTAGATCTCCAATCTGAATGTATTTTGCATTGGAAAGGGCTGTTACATATTCTTCCTAAAATTTGTGAATTTTTGGTGGTATCACACAATTTACGAAATGGCAAACAGTGTCAAAATGTAGTTATGATACATGTTGTTCCACTGTAACACTGTATCACTTGTTGTTCTCACATGATTTCCTAATTTGATTAGACAGAATAATTTTAATATAGCATATTCAACCCTAAAGATTGTAAATGCATTACCAAAACTAATCAGCTGAAAAAACTGTTAGTTTTTCTCTCATTGTACAAGAATTTTTTATTATTTTTTTTTACTCTTAATATTTTTTTAATTCTTAATTATTTAATTATTTAATTCTATTTTAATTATTAAAATAATTCTTAATTAAATCTAATCTGTATATTATTCTTATTTTAATTTCTAATTTTTTTTACT